GTTCCATCGTTCGGTTTATTTGCATATTAGGGTTACACACACACACACACACACACACACACACACACACACACACACTAGAGGCCTGGTGCATAGATTCGTGCATTGGTGGGGTCCCTCAGCATAGTCTGTGGGGATCGGGCTGAAACTGGCAGTCCAATGCCGCTTGCCACTCCTGCTCATCCCAGCCCCGCTGCACCTGCTGCCACTGCCGCCTGGTAGGCTTGCTGCCGCTCTGTTGTGGTCTCTGGTCTGGTGCCCGCTGGTCAGCTGAGCAGCACTCCTGCTATGGAAGCACAATGACCAACAGGGGGCAGCTCCTGTGTTGAGTGTCTTCCCCCTTGTGGTTAGTGCACGTCACAGCTACCGGTTGACGAGTCGTCGGGTCACTTAGTCATATATATATATATATATGTGTGTGTGTGTATATATATATATATATATATATATATATATATATATATATATATATAGATGGAGGCCTGGTGCACAAAATTAGTGCAGGGGGGGGTTCCCTCAGCACGGCCTGCAACCTCTGGCAATCCGGGACCCCTCCGGGCCCCTAGAGGATCGGGCCTAAACCGGCAGTCAGACATCTCTCTCGCAATCTGGGACCGCTGGCTCCTAACCGCTCACCTGCCTGCCTGATCACCCCTAACCGCCTCTGTCTGCCTGCCTGATCGCCCCTAACTGCTAGGCTGCCTGCCTGATCGCCCCTAACCGCCTCTGCCTCGGCCCCTGCGACTTCGTCTGGGAGGTCGTATGGAAGGACATCTGGAATGACGTCTGGAAGGTTGTTCAGCTGTCTGGTCTAATTAGCATATTACACTTTTATTATTATATACTAGAGGCCCAGTGCGCAAAATTGCATGCAGTAGCCCGCCGTTGCTCGCCGACTTGCTGCCTGCCTTGCTGCAATCTGAGACTGTGGGCTGCGGGGGAGGGACTGAGAGGTGGTCAATTCACCTCATGGTGACTGGTCAAGTAGTCATTCTGGTTGTGATTCTTATGGCCTCTGGCCTTTTATTATATAGGATATCCACTTCAGCTTTCATTTGATTAGTGTTAATGTGGTATATCTATTCCAATCCTGTAATTTTAAAACTATTTACCTTTAAATATTTATATTTAAAGTGGTTTTGTTGTGTGGAGCATATATTTGGGTCTGTTTTCTACACAATCTGACAACTGCTGCCTTTTAATTAGGGTATTTAGGCCATTTACATTTAATGTTATTATTGAAGATGACATTTAAGTCTACTATCTTGCTATTTGCTATGGATTAATTGGGAATTTTTGATAATTCATTTTCTTACTTATGTTAGCTTACTAACTATAACTGTTGTGTCATTTTTGCTTTATGCAAGGTTTATAGTGTACAACTTTAACTTATCACTGTCTACTGTTGTGACATTATGCCACTTAATATATAGTATTAAAACCTTATAACAGAATTATTTCATTTCTCCATGTTCTTCATTAGCTTTTATGTCATGGGTTTTACTTTTACATATTATACATTGTTATAATACTTTGCTTTAAATAGTCAATTAATTGTAAATACATTTAAGTAATGAACAAGTTAGAAAAATTTACCAACATAATTAGCATTTCAAAGCCTTTTCATCATTTTCCATTTGCTTAAAGAGTTTCCTTTATCATTTTTTGTAGTGTAGGTGTGCTAATGATGAATTCTTTCAGCATTTGTACATGTGAAAATGTTTGTATTTCACCTTTGCTTCTGAATGCTATTATTGCTGTTATAGAATTTCAGTTTAAGCTTTTTCTTTTCTTCAATACTTTAAAGATGTTTCTCCACTGTCTTTGGGCTTGCATTGATTCCAGCAAGAAACCTGTCATTTTCATCTTTGTTCCTCTGTACATAATGCCTTCTTTTCTCTCACTGCTTTTAAAACACTGGTAAAATTACTGATTTTATAAAAGCAAATTGTTTATGATGTACCTTAGTGTAGTTTCCTTTGTGTTTCTTGTGCTTGGGATTCACTGAGATATTTGGACCTATTGACTTATATTTTTCACCAAATTTGGAACAATTTCAGCTATTTCTTTGACTATATTTTTTGTCCCCCTTCTATCTATCCTTCAAGGGCTTCACTTATACATGTATTAGGTCACATGAAGTTGTCCCACTGATGCCCTGTTCATTATTTTTCTGTTATTTTAGGTAATTTCAATTAATATGTCTGTAAACGAATAATCTCTTCTTCTGAAATATCTAATCTGTCACTACTTTCCTCACAGGCATTCTTCATCTCAGACAAGGAAGTTTGTCTCTACAAGTTCAATGAAAGTATTTTAAAAAATCTTCCACATCTCTGTTTAATATGTTCTTAATTTCTTCCAGCTTTTTGAATATATGGAATTCAGTTGTGATAGCTTTAATGTCTTCTTAAGTAAAATCCTTTAAGGTCTTCATCTACTAATTCTATATTCTGTGTACTTTTTGGATGGGTTTAGATTAATTTTTCTCCTCATTATGGGTTACAAATATTTTGTCCCAGGCTTTAGCTTATTCTTTCACTTATTAAAAGTGTCATTACAATAGAAAAAATGTTCTGTTTTGCTAAAGTCCAACTTATCTTTTTTGTTTATGATTCAGTTTCTTTCTCCCTATCTATAAAATCTCTTACATAGCCCCAGGTAACATATACTTCATTTTTTCCTCCAGAACTTTTTCTTTTTTTTAAATAATATATTTTATTGATTTTTTACAGAGAGGAAGGGAGAGGGATAGAGAGTTAGAAACATTGATGAGAGAGAAACATCGATCAGCTGCCTCCTGCACACTCCCCACTGGGGACGTGCCCGCAACCAAGGTACATGCCCTTGATTGGAATCGAACCTGGGACCCTGAGTCCGCAGGCCGAAGCTCTATCCACTGAGCCAAACCAGTCAGGGCACCCCCAGAACTTTTATAGTTAGGTTTTTAAAAAAATTTTGTTTCAATATCCATTTAAAATTAAAATTTATATAATAAAATTGGTAAATATATTCATTTGGCTCCAATACCATGTATTAAAAAGACTAAACTCTCTTTAATGGATTGTTTTGACCACTTGTCAAAATATTGTGTGTTTATATCTGGGTTGTCTATTCTGTTCCATTAATCTTTAAGTCTAGCCTTATATCATTATCACACTGTTTTGATTACTATGGCTCATATTTTTCTACATCTATTAAACTGATCTTTTAAAATTTGGTGATACGGTGAATCAAATTGATTTTAGAATGTTGAACCAACCTTCCATTCTTGGAATAAACATGAGTTGGTCATCCTTTTATATATTATTCAATTCAATTTGCTAATATTTTGTTAAGGATTTTTGGGTTTATATTTATGAGTTATTGGTCTGTAGTTCTCTGCTCTTATATTGTCTTTGTCTGGTTTTGGCATCAGAGTAATGCTGAACTCCTGAATTGAGTTGGAAAGTGTTCCTTCCTTTTCTATTCCTAAAAGAGATTGTTTAGGACTGGCATGATTTCTTCCTTAAATGTTTGTAGAACTTGCCAGTGAAGACATCTGGACTGGATGTTTTCTTTATAGAAAGGTATTTTAACTACAAATTCAATTTCTTTAACAGATAGAAAACTATGTAGGTTATTTCCTTTTGGATAAATATTGGTAGCTCATCTTCCAAGGAATCTTTTCATTTCATTTAGGTTATTAAATTTATTGACAACGTTGTTATTTACTTATCCTTTAATATCCACTTAATATCTGGAAGATCTTTAGTGATGCTTCCTCTTTCATTTCTACTTGTGATAATTTATGTCCTCTCACTTTTTCTCTTGTTCAGTCTGGTAAGATGTTTACAAATTTTTGTATTCTTTGCAAAGAACCAGTTTTTGGGTATATTGATTTCCCCTACTGTTTCAATTTCATTGGTTTATCTTGATTATTTCTTTTATTCTTCTTACTTTGGGTTTAATTTATTATCTTATGACAATAAGATTATTGAATCAAAACCTTTTTTTGGTTTCTAAAATAAGGCATTATAGCTTATTTCTACATAAGTACTTTTTTAGCTGTATCTTAAAAATTTTGTTTTTATTGTCATTCAACTAAAAATTTTTTTCTTATTATTTATTTAAAACATTTTTTAAATTGTGCAAATACTAAATCAGCTAGAATGCCAGTAAACAGGCATAAGTCATGTTTCCCCTGGGCAAACTAGATATACAGGCACTGTTGAGCTGATCCAGAGTAAAAAGTATTTTCTAATTTCCCTGTAACTGCCTCTTTGATCCATGCGCTATCTAGAAATATGTTTAATTTAAAAAAATTTGGGATTTCCAGATATCTTTCTGTTATTAATTACTAGTTCAGTTTGTTTGTGGTCAGAGAATATAATTTTTCTGAATTCAATCCTTTCAGATTTATTGAGTTTGTTTTGTTGTTTTTTTAATCAGAAAGTGGTCTATCTTTGTGACAGTTCCATGTGTCCTTTTAAAAAATTGGTATTCGCCCTAGCTGGTTTGGCTCAGTGGATACAGCATCCGTCTGTGGACTGAAGGGTCCCAGGTTCGATTCTGGCTAAGGGCACATGCCCAGGTTGTGAGCTCAATCCCCAGTGGGGGGCCTGCAGGAGTCAGCAAATCAATGATTCTCTCTCATCATTGATGTTTCTATCTCTCTCTCCCTCTCCCTTCCTCTCTGAAATCAATAAAAATATATTTAAAAAATGGTATTCCTCTCTTGTTGGGTGGAGTGTTCTTATTTTTATTTTCTTAAATGGCTATAAGTTTTTGACAATAAAACTTCACAAAAAGAAGGAATATGTCACTTTAGATTCAGAATTCTGATGGTTCAATGTATGAGTTTGAAAGATCAAAAGTTATTTTGTAAGAAGTATTATAATAGTAAATAGTTCTCGATATGAACTTCATCAAATATATGTACATACAATTAACAAAGACATAAGAGACCAAACACCTGCAATTAAATGCAGATAATGAAAGTTACCTTTGTACATGCTTACCTCCAAATCTGTCCCTAGTATGATCCAATGACCCATTGTCTATACTTGTTTAGTCACATTGGTTTGATTTTAATCCTTCCAAGTAGCCATGATCTGTTCTTGCCTCAGGATTTACTGAAGATATTCTCTATATGGAAAATACTTTCTCCCTCTTTCTGTCCAATTTGTCTTCGACTTTCAGAATTAACCTTGAAGTCACTTTTTCAGAAAGCCTTTCCTGACATGCCTTCAAAGATGAGGTCCTCAGATGTACATTTTAATGACACCCTGTACCTGTTTTACACTGACATTTTGTGACTGAAATAAAAAATATAAAGTCAGATTAGGTCATATTATCAAAGATGTTAATACTTCTCAAAAGGTTCAGAATCAGTGATTCAACTAAACTGACTACCTTCAGAAGAATATTGAATACAAAGGTCTTTCACATTACATATCTAATAATAAATCCAAGGGCACACACAAAACCAACAAAAATGGGAAATCCCACTTTTCTGCTTTTATAGAGCCAGGCAAATGGATAAGTTGTATATTTCTCTAAGACATTCCTTACTTTAGAAAGGAATATCCATATACAAAGATCAAGTTTGGCTCAAATAACTTTTCTTTTCCAAATTAAAGGTAAAAAGTGATGCTTTAGCAGTGGTTCTTAACCTTCTGGCCCTTTAAATACAGTTCCTCATGTTGTGACCCAACCATAAAATTATTTTCGTTGCTACTTCATAACTGTAATGTTGCTACTGTTATGAATCATAATGTAAATATCTGATATGCAGGATGGTCTTAGGCGACCCCTGTGAAAGGGTCCTTCGACCGCCAAAGGGGTCGCAACCCACAGGTTGAGAACTGCTGCTTTAGAGTCTAATAGTTTCTTACAAACTTTTTTGGCAAAGTATTTGGGAGAAGAGAGTGAGAGGAAAATCTTCATCGTTTATGAACATTTGGAAACTTAATTTATTTTAAATAGCAATTGACAATATTATTAGGGAGCTTTTTTAGAAAAATATACAGATTTCCTGGCAATGGAGTTGGAAGAGCTGTCTTCTCCAGGTCTCTCAGGCTCACTTTGTAAATTATGTGACACACTTTTAGACAGACACTGGTACTCATAAATTATACAGCTCATTTGCATATTCCAGTCATGAGACATTATGCAAAGTGACATGATTTGCATAATGGATTCCTCTTGTCGCTTCACTTGCTGCCTGCTTTTAAAAAACAAAATGAAATAAAATGAACGCATGAAAAGGTGAAAGCATCAAGTTTCCAGGCTTGTCCATCTCCTTCCCAACTAGAGTATAATTGCTTTCATTTCTTACAGGGGTTTGGGATGAAGGGCGGCAGAAAGCAAAAATCTACACATACAAACGAAAAACCTAACAGCTTTCATATGAATTTTGGTCTTAATTACAATGTATCTATTTTTTAATTGAAATCCTTTACCATAAATACCCTATCTGAGTCAAAGGGAATAGAAACAAAAAAACCCCCAAGATATAGAGAAAGAAACTATGGAACTTTTTCTTTAAGAAAAGCACCTTTGCCTCTTATATTTAGGGAAGGAGTAATTCCTCTTGTAACTAAAAAAAAAAAAAAAAAAAAAAAAAAAAAAAAAAAAGCACCAGGTATTTTCTTACTATTGGAAAAAAACATATTATGGATGAGATAAATGGTCTGGGGGAGGGATTTTCTCCCCTCCCCATTAGAACTTCTGAAGGGTTTTCTGTTTTTAAAGAGGAAGGCAGAAGAAAGGGCTGTGCTTTGATTATTTAAAAAAATATATATAGAAAGGCTAAATATACTGTAAGGATGAGACAGTACCACGTCGACTTCTATCGGCTCTACTCCAATGAGCAGGCAACATTCCCTCAGCAGTTGCTAGTTTTGCTGCGGGCTTTCCCTGCCCCCCTGCACCAGTGCGAGAGGCAGAGTGTGCCAAGCGGCTGGCGTCTGTACCCTGTGGGAAAAGTTAACTGTAATTCTTCGGCTTTTAAAATCAATTAACCCGTGTGTTAATTAACGTCAAGTCGACGGGAGGAGGAGGAGAAGAAGGGGAGGGAGGGAAGAAAGAAAAAAGCTGCAAGGGCGGATGGCAGAAGAGTTGGCACAGTGCCATCCATTCAGGGGCAACGCCACAGTTTCGTGCGATAGCAGCAGCGGGTATATGTTACGGGGGCCCTGAATGCGGGCCAGGCAGTGCGGTAAAGCCAGGGGAGATTATCCAGACCCCGGGAGCGAACAGCAAGCAGCAACCGAAGGCGCAAGTATCAGGATTACAGCCTAGGCTGCTCCAACTATGAGCCCTTCCTCGGACCCAGGACTCGGCTACTTGGGGTTTGGGGGTCTTCCACACCCAAGAGGCACAAAGCTGACTTTAATCACTTTTTTCCTTTAAACTTGATTCTGCCGCAGTGGAGCCAGCACAGTGGATGCTTTCACACCCAGCGAGACAAAGGCCGTCGTCTCCGCCATGACACTGTTCCGTTCCAAGCAGAGGCCGGGATCCTGGACTCCTTAAAAAATCAAAAAGAAACAAGGAAAACAAACAACAAATACAGCAACGAACAGAAAAAAATTAACAACCACCAAAATCGTATGCCCGTTTTCCCATGCCAGGGGTGATCTGGGCATCTGTTGCAACAGAAGGCGCTTGTGTGGGGCTATTTTTTTTTTTTTTTGGCAAGCAGTTGGCTTGTTTGCGATTCAACTTTGTTTACAATTAACTTTAAAAACACCATTCAGCCCAGTCAACAACAAACAAAGAGGAAAAGCAGACATCGGAAGAGAAATGCCATAGGAAGCGGCTTGAATGCATGCCACAGCCGGTGCCACTTGCCATTTGGAAAACCTCAGGGAAAGATGCCAATTCTATAGCTCGGAAAGAAGGGAGCATAAAGGTCTACAAACAGAAATCATAAGGAAGGAATACCGCTTGTATAATCCTGGATTGCAATTGCACACAGCTTCTGCTGGGAGGAAAGAGGCAATATTTAAATGGAGATATTAGATGGGTATAAATGAAAAGACAGGCACTTATTGATTGCAAATAGAAACGTGTAAGGTTGTATGTGTATATAAATACATATATTTTCAGAAAAATTAAACGTTTAGATATGTATATATTTTTTGTGTTATAGGTATAGCTATGTGTGTAGGTGTATATGTTTAAGCATATACACACATATGTGGGATGTATGCATGTGTGAGAAAAGGAGAGGAAGACAGAGGAGAGGCAAGGAAATGTGTCTATGTGCATGTATGTGTGTGCATACCTCCCACTTTTTGACCCAGGTATACACAGAAGACAAAATAAAAATCATACTCCAGCAGCAAGCAGGCAGTCAGAGATTTATCTACATTCACTGCTATCACCAGGGAGATGAATGGGGCCGATCTGAAGCCCTTTTACAAGATCCACTATGGGAGTGAAGGAGGAGGAGGCATGCTACACAGACATGCACAAACTTGAAGGCAGATGGATTTGGAAGGTGCTACTTAGGAAACCCTGGTGGCATAACGCAAGGGAGAAGAAGGGAAAAGAGGCCGGTCTCTGTCTATGTTTTAGTCGTTTGTTAAAAAAAATCTGAAAAAGGGTTTCAGGAAACGGCTGGTACTTACGTTGTCGGCGTTGCTGTGGATCTTGAAAGGTGTTCTGTTGGCACCGGGCGCTGAGCCAGGGGCAGGCGCTGGAAACAAAAGGGAGAGACAAAAAAAAAAAAATAAAGTCATTCAATGGGAATATTAATTGCTGCTCTTGTGGATTTTACAAAACACACAAACTGTTTTCTTTTTCTTTCTTTTTTTAAAAAAACATGTGGATTGGCGCGTGTCCCTTTCGCATGGAATATACAAGTAGTATGGGATTTACAGCCCAGTACGGGACTCAGGATTAACCGGGCTGGCATCTTTTTGGCATATTCTTCCTTTTAATGAATGAGCTTTCGCTGTTAATGAGGAATAATCGTTTGGCTAATGAGCTTTGAAACATTAAGAGAAAAGAGGTTTTTTTCGTTAATCGCTCTGGTGCGACTGCATGGATGGATTACAAAAGACAGCAATAGGAATGCAGTACAAAGGGGGGGAACCTCTCCTGGAGTGGGAAAAGCACCGAGATGGGTGATATGTCCCTGCATCTTTCCTTCCTTCTCTCTTTCACCCTCTGCCAACTGCTATGGGTTTCCATAACTCCGCAATCAAAGTGGATGGTCGGGAAGGATTATTACAAAGAGTGAAGCCTCTGCTGTTAATGTCTCCAGTGTTTAATAATCATACAGTAGAATGGTTTTATGCATATTTCATTTGCATATCATTAAACCGTGTTAGCGAGGGGCATTCAGAGCCAGGAGAAGTACAAAGTTGGGGAGAGAGGGAAGGAAAAAAGGTCCCTATGATGCTTATCTTCAAACGGGGATGTGTTCCATGATCTGTCTTCTACTTTTTCTAAAATCATTATGACTTGGAAACCTTTGAAGTTGGATACAACCTTGGATTCTTCTAATTCCTGCAGAGCGGTATATTTTTAAAAACAGCAGAAATGTTCCTGCACTAGACAATTAAAGGAATATAAACTCCAGTGGGTTGAAACTAGTAGCTCTTTGGGGAATGCAGTGTCAGAGGCTTCTACAAATACCAACACACACACACAAATAATAAAGAGCATCATATTAAAGGAAAACGAAGACAAGAAATATTAACATGTGGATTACATTTGTTTCTTTTGGGGGGTAGTGAACTAACGAGAATGAAGAAGCATCGGTAATTTATTCCTTCTTTAATGAACAGTCACCTTTTTGTATGTGTTTGTTTTTGTCGTTTCTTTTCGAAAAGTGATGTTGTCACTTTCGAAGCGATTAGTCAATTATTTTGTAGCTCTGATCTTTTTTCTTCTGTATCCGACAGGAGAGAAAGGTGGTGGTTAGGGAATACGCGTGTTATTGGGGGGATTTGTGGGGAGAGAAGGAATACAGTGAGTTCTTTGTATATCTAATACATGCACAACATATTAATTGAGAGCTTTTAAAGCTCCCTCAATAGGCTATTTCATTCCTGGTAAAACAGCAGCTGGTTAGACACTGTTGGTGACTCTTCAGATATCATTTTAAGTTTTTTTGTTCTGTTGCTGTTGTCTTGTTTTTCCTCAATCAAGAATGAGAATATAATGTCACCCCTTCTTTTGAGTCTCTTCTCTCCTCCATCATCTTCCTCACTCCTACTTTCCAAACTGTAAAACAATGTTGATTTAATATTGAATCCTGGTGCACAGTCTAACTGGCACAACTTGATTTGGAAATGA